TCCTTTACATCTTAAATAAATCTTCAAGATATAAGGCCAATCCAGAGTAGACCAAATCCTCCTCCTGTTTCCAGGGAAGAAGACTCACTTGTCCACTCATCAAATATTTATGGGGTGTTTACTGTATCCTCGGTGCCACTGAGGGTGCATAGTTGTTTGATGAAACAGAATGTCTGGTGAGGTAACGAATAGAGCGGATTTTAGAAGACTGCTGTAGACTCAGCACTTGGCAAGTGTGAAATAATCATGCGGCACGACATGGGACTCAATACTAGGTAAGTGTGAAAGTAGTCCTCCGTCAGAGCCCAAGTGGGCGGCCAGATTCCCCTCTCTGCTGGCTGTGAGGAGCCATGAGATTTCTCTAAGTTCCTTACTAGGAATTTAGATATTACATCTATAAAATAAGCATCTGTTGCCTGTTTATGTCTCATGTGGAATTAATAAGTATTCATAAAGGAATATCCCATGTGGTTTTGCTAAGCAAAAGGTACAAAAATGTTATTTTTATGAGACTGGCAACTCCAAGAGTCCTTCTGAATGCCTTTCTTGGTCAAGATCTGTGTCAACTGCAAGAGAGGCTGCAAGCCTGAAGACAGGCCATTTTTATTCTACTTTGGAGCTGGTAAGTATGAATAATTTAAGGGTCACATCTGTAAAGAAACAAATGTCAAATACAAATTGACAACTATATTTCAAGCAAAGTCCGGTTCACTTTCAAAAGGTCAGTTTGGTCGTTTTCTTGAGTGAGTTCTGAAATCTTACCTTTCCATTGTTACATTTCAGAGGAGCTTCAGGAAAACACATTTTTAGTAAGTGTCAGGGCACCTTGCCCACGGCAACTGATATTCGCAAGCACACTGTGGCCCAGGAGGCGCTGGGAAGAGCCGTCCACTCCTCCATCCGCTGAATGGCCTGAGCACAGGCTACTCCTGCGGGCTGGCCCGCTCGGCTGGAAGCCGGGCTGTTCACCTTAAGGTGGCTTTTATACATTGAGACATTCTGGTCCAGAGAGACTGGCTTGACAAACTTGCACCGAATGAAGTAGGGACTCAAAGGCCAGGTAATGGGTGCACTCACTGTTGTGGAGCCAGGGGCAAGTTCTCCAGAGTTCTGTCTTGGTCAGGCCAACTTCCCCTGCTGTTACTAGCAAATGCAGTTATGCCTCCAGCTGCACGGTGCATCTCAGCCTCTCCATCTCTGAGCCCTTCCTTGCTCTAAGTCCCAGTGTCCATGTGTATGGGCCAATACTAGTACCTACCTACACCTAGTAGGCTGACATGAGGATTAAAGTGCACACGTGGGCCTGGGTCACAGGCAGATGAAATAAACCTTAGTTATTAGTGTTTTTACCCTACAAGTCAGAAGATGGAAGACCCCTGTTCCCTGTGAACCCAGCCTTCAGAATGACTTCACTTCCCAGGGCAATGGTTCTGCAGAAAAACACTGATGTGGAGGAAGCCTGGGTTTTAATCCTTGCTTGCGCTCTGACATTTGACCTTAGGCAAGGTCAAATTGAGGGGGATGGGCTACATCAGTGTTTTGTTTTTTAAATATATTTTTTATTGATTTCAGAGAGGAAGGGAGAGGGAGAGACAGAGACATCAATGGAGAGAGAATCACTGACTGGCTGCCTTCTGCACGCCCCCTACTGGGGACTGAGCCTGCAACCCGGGCATGTGCCCTTGACCGGAATTAAACCTGGGACCCTTCAGTCCATTGGCTGATGCTCTATCCACGGAGCCAAAGGGGCTAGGGCTACATCAGTGTTTTTCACTGGTTCATCAGAGCCCCAGGGCAGGTTTCTGAGACTCTAACTTCCCCTTTAGCCAAAGCAGTTCTGCTTTTATCTCTTATATATTGGGATTCCACATAAAATTTCATTTGAAAGAAAGGCTTTTCACTGCTTATAAATAAAGTTCAAGAGCCATTACATAATGTAACCTATAACTGCTTTAATGGCTCTAAATTCAATGCTCTCACTGTTGAATTTTAGAAATATACCTCATATACTGAGAAATTAGAATTAGGGAGGAAATGGAAAGTCAGATTTCAATGAATTAGCCTACTTTGTTTTTCAAGGCTATGATAAGAAATGACCAGTTGAACATTTCTCTCCCTCTTTTCTTCCCTTTCTCCCTTCCTGTATTCCTTCTAGTGAAAATTCAGAATATCTCACATACACCAGAAAGAGCATAGGGTACTAGGGACCCAGGAGTGAGCAAAACTGACAAAGTCTCTGCTCTTGAAAATTCAGAGGCTACTTAGGGAAAAAAGACAACAAACAGTAAACAAGTTATAAACTGTAAAAAGGCTGTGAAGAAAGTGTACACAGCAAAGTGAGAGCGACGGGCTGCCTCAGATAAGATGGTCCAGAAAGGCACTTAGGAAGGTGGGCTGCCAGCAAACACGAGGCCTGGCGGTCCAAGTCCAGTGGTCTTGTCCTCCATTCACCCCCTCATTCCCTTGGCCTTGCCCTAGAAATGGTCAGCAGTCACCTCACCCCTTAGCCACTCCCATGGAGACAGTGTGGCCACCTGTCATTTCTGACAAGCCTGGGGGGAGGCGGAGGCAGGTCCGGGGCTGAAACAGGTGACCAGAAGTCTGTTGCTGTTTTTTATTTTTCTTGAAGAACTAAGCTACTGAGCCCTTGAAATATTTTAATTTGCTTTTCCTATTGATTATCAATTATCAATAGAAGAACAATCTTTCACTTCCTGGTTTTGTGCATATTTTACAGTAAGTAACGTATTTACTTGGTTCAAAACTAAAAAAAGAGGATAAAAACAATGATTGGGCTCTGGGACCAAGCTGCTTGGATTCACATCCCGGCTCCGCTAATGACTGTGACCTGGGGCAGGTTATTCAGAAACTGTGCCTCGGTTTCCTTAGCTGTAAAAAACAACCACACACACACACACACAGTACCTTCCTCATGGTGGTGCTGTGAGGGCTAAATGTAACAACTGAGCACGTGTCTAGCACATAGTAAGTGCTAAATTAATGGTATCATGAAACAGAAACCCAGAAAGAGTCCCAGGCTGCCCACAGTTGTGCCTCCCTTCTCCTTCTGATGATATAAACTGGATAACTGACCCCAATATTTTTCCTTGACAAGCACATTCTTTATAAGAACAGATAAAAATACTATCTCGATATATTGCAGCGGTTCTCAACCTGTGGGTCGTGACCCCTTTGGCGGTCGAACGACCCTTTCACAGGGGTCGCCTAAGACCATCCTGCATATCAGATATTTACATTACGATTCATCACAGTAGCAACATTACAGTTATGAAGTAGCAACGAAAATAATTTTATGGTTGGGTCACAACATGAGGAACTGTATTTAAAGGGCCAGAAGGTTGAGAACCACTGATTGGTAAGTATGAACTGTTCTATGTTGTTTAAAACTAAGCCAATAACATGTAAAGATAAACAAAATAAGAGACACTGGTTTTTGATGGTTTTAATTAGCTACAAACCACCCGAACATATCAGAAAAGGGGAAAGGGACCGCTGACAAAAATCTAGGGTGATACGCAGAAGGGGTGGCAGATCTGGTTAACTTAACCAGAACATGTTTATAATTCTCTGAGTTTAACTTGTTCATTTGTCCTCGATGGAAGTTCTGTTTACCTTCAACGTAACTGAGCTCCTGCTGTCAAAACCTCCCTTTGCAACGGGGACTTGACAACATCCTTTCACCTGCTTCTCGTAACACACCTCGTGGGTGCCTTTGCTCAAGGACCACGGTCTCCATTCCTGTGTCTTATTTAGGACACTTAACACAACACATTATTTGTTCCCTCACAGCAAGGTCTCCTCTGACAGCCAAGATTCTAGTTTTCTGTCATAAGTAATTATAAATGTAGGCTTCTAAAAAGATTCTCAATTTGAGGGGCATAATCTATTTCAGATAGTAAATCACAGAGACATCTCTATCCCTGGGGCGACCCAAATGTACAACCCAGATGTATGAGCTTTCACTCCAAATTATTCATATCTGAAGAAAAATGGATGTTCCACTTTCTCCCTGGGGCAACTAAGAAAAAACACTCCCCAAACACTGGCACCTTTGTTAGAGAAATTTATATTGGTTTAAATTTTTTTTTTAGCCTCAGATACAGAGCTTCAATCTTCAAAATCCAACTCAGAAAACTGTCTCAGGGAGTCCTGCTCTGAAGTTGTCACTCCAATTACGAACTTGAGATCCCCAGACCCCCCCACCTCAAGCCCTCTATTTCCACCAAACATTATTTTCTGTTCCTCCTCTCTACACTGCTGACAACCATGTTCCCTACTCACAACCAGAAACTAATAGTTCATCTTTACAGCTCTCTCCAACAAAGGGAACCCCAGGCAAATTTTCATTCCTGCTTCCTTCCAATTTTTCAATTACTAACGCTACTTATCTTGGCTCTGTGCCAACATTTGCTTTATGTCAATATAATTGACAATTTTTAAAAAAATAAAAACACACCCCAAAATAACTTCTAACCTCCACTATATCTTAACAACAAAACATGAATCTCAGTGATACTGGAATGAGTCTGCTTTACAATAATAGGATGTGGCAGACTGTTCTAAGTGCTCATGTGCAATCTACCTCCTTTGATCTGCGTGAAAACTTTCAGGTGGGCACTATCTGTTATTAGTCTGACTTTACAAATGCAATAACCAAAATCATAACGGTCACAGCGGGAATTGGTAGAGCTGGAATTCAGACGAAGGGCAGTTTGACACCAAAGTCATGCTCTTCCTCCTTAAACCATATTTTGTCCTGGAGTAACCTTTAGAAGAATGAGGACAATGTCTCTCTTTGTTCTTTTTAGTTGTAAAGAACCCATCATTGTATGAAACGAGGCATAGGTAACTGATTTTGGGTGTGGGAGTCTAAGCGTTCAGCATTTAATAAAAAAAGTGGCATCTCAAAGTGACCAATTTTCTCTATTTATAGTTAATTATTTTTATTTTTTTATGCATAGCATTTTTCATATTCCCACCTTGAGCAGTCAAACTTCCAGAAGAATCCTGATTCTGCTCTGCTGGCTGCCGACTGGGAGGAACGATGGGTGGGCTCAGCATGTTTAACCAGTCCCTAAAAAGAAACGAAGAGTCAATGAACACACACACCTGTAATTCCATACAGTTTTTACCTTTCACTGGATTTTCAATTCCCGGGATCTTCCTCGTTTGTATTTCAGAAAGACAAGATGTTCAAAAGTTAATATTTAGTTTTGTAAACTGGTTAATGTAGAGTCAATCACTTAACTAACTACAGAGCTCCTTGAATTACCATGGGGTTACATCCTGATAAACCATCATAAGGTAAAAATACTGTAGGTTGAAAATGCATTTGATACACCTAACCTACTGCATATCATGGCTTAGCCCGGCCTACCTTAAACATGCTCAGAACCCTTAGATTAGCCTACACTAGGGCAAAATAACCTAACACAAAGCCTGTTTTATAGTAAAGTGTTGAGTATCTTAGGTAATTTATTATGCTATTGCTTTCATATCACTGTAAAGCCAGAAAATTGTTAAGTCAAACCATCATGAATTAGGTATTGTCTGTAGTTGTTCAAGAAATACATCAACTACATAAAGAGGGCATTCTTCTCAAAAGTTTATTATTAAATAAACTATTATTAAACACAGTTTCTCTCACATAAGAACATTATTTCAATAACTCAGAAAAAATGCAGCAGAGACAAAGCTCCTTATAACCTCAAGGTAAGAAAGCCTGACAAAGCCACATGTCACACGCCATGAATGACAACACTCTACATGGTGACTCAAAGCAGAAGTTAGTCTTGGAGCGATCGTGTACCAGCCACAGTGGTGGGAGTCAGTCTGCATTAATTCGGAGCTCTTCAGCAGCAGGGAGTGAAGGAAGGGAGAGGGAGGGGGCCGGGCCCTGGAGTGACTCACTACTTCAGTTTCCCCATTAGGCATGGGGACAAAACCACTCCAGAGCACCTCCTACATCCCCTCTCCCTCTGCCTCCAACCTCATTTCCCAATCGCTTGACTTTCCTTCCTCCTCCATTCTTTTCCAGTCCCCGTTCCCTCTAGTAGACACCTGGGTGGGTGTGATGCAAGGGGTGACATGCAGAAGATGTGAGTCACTGTGCACTCTACTTCACCCCTTCTTAGCTGGAAACTTGCTCCTGCGCATCTTTAGAGAAGGGAGCAAGCAGGGGAATGTGAAGGATTTTACAGCATGAATTCTATTTCTCGCGTTGATATAGTACCCCGTCGTTTACCTTATTCTTCTCAACAGGAGCATGTCATCATGACTAAACAACTTTTTTCCTGTACTTCCTTTAGCTGTTATCTATAATGGAGCTAGTCCCAACCATAACTAAGAGTAGTGGTTCTCCAGGACGATCCCGGCTCCATCTTTCCTAACGTAAGAGCTTGGCCAAATTACTTAACATCGTAAGCCTTATCTATAAAAAGGAGATAAGAATACCTCAGCTTTTTTGTTGTTAGGATTGAATAAAAAAATGGATGAGAAACATTTGGCATGGCTCTGGGTACAGAGTTGCACTCAATAAATTTCAGCTATTATCACCACCATCCTCATTATCAAGGAAGATCATAGAGTGACTTTATCTACAATGATAAACCACGGTAAGAATTGGATTCTATTGACATTAAACCAATAAATGATGGTAGAATGATTACAAGTCTATACAGTAGAGATTTTCCTTGCAAGCCATTTACTCTTTTTGTATAAAAAGCACCTTAATGTAAAAATTATCCATTTCCTATTTGGAATATTTTAAGATACTCTAAGTAACTGCACACCTCAGCTGTTACTAGATTATGGCTAGTGAAATAAGCAAGATGAGCATGCTGTGTAATTGAATTTCATAATAACACATTAAGGGCATCAAAAAGGATTCGTCACAGACTTCCAAGCTAACGGGGCATTTTCTGATAAGCACCTTTTATTTAGTCCATTTAATTATAGTAGACCAAAAATTCCTACATTATAGAAAATTACAAGGTCACACACAAATTATCAGCCCAATGACCTCATTACTCAGTAAGAATGATGGAGAGCAAGGATGAACAGGAGAAAAATAATGTTGTCCTATGATGATACCCCCAGAGACAAATTAGAAACTCTACCCAATGGCAGAAGCAACTACTCATGCTCCATGGACATGGGAAAAAATGTCGGTGGGGTTGTTGTGTGACTGTTATGAAAAGCAAGGTATTCACTTCTTAGGCTAATGATTTGATTAATGTTTTTCCTTCTTAGCAGTAGCCATGAAAAGTATAGGGATCTTTAAAAAATATTTTCAAAATTATGAAAAAGTTGTAAGAGTACAAAGAACTCCTTAGTCCTTCACCCAGGTTCCCCCACTAAACATTTTATCACACTTGCTTGTGATCTATCTGTCTATCTACCTAACCATCACCTACCACTACTTCTTTGTCTAGATGGGTTGGTATAGGATGGCCCTCAGCAAAGCCTGTCTGGCCTACTGCCTGGTCTGTCCAATCTGAAAACCAAGAATGGCTTCTACATCTTTACATTTTTATTTTATATTAATTCTTTATTGGTGAAAGTATTACGTATGTCTCCCCCCCCCCCCCCCCCCCCCCCCACACCAACCCCCCCCCCCCCTCCTGTTCCTGCCTCCCAGCACAGGCCCTCACCCCCTGTTGTGTCCACTGGTTATGCTTATATGCATGCATACATGTCTTTTGGTTGATTAACCCCGCTTCCCTCCCCTGCCTTCCCTCTGAGGTTTGATGGTCTGTTCGGTGCTTCTATGTTTCTGGATCTATTTTTGTTCATTAGTTTATGTTGTTCAGATGTTTTTACATTTTTAAATGGTTGAAAAATTTTAAAATAATAATGTTTCATGACACATGATAATTACATAAAATTCAAATGTCAGTGCCCATAAACAAACTTTTATTGGAATGCAAAAGTGTTCACTTGCTTATGTATCATCTATAGCTGCTTCTGTGCTACAGGGACAGAGGGAAGTATTCACGATGGTCCCTGACGTGTAATATGGCTCATGCTGATTTCTCCAATTCTGATACAACCACAGGTCTGTCTCATCTTTCCTCCTTCCATATTTGTAACTCCTCTCTGACTGTGGAGACCTGGCTCCCATTATCTGCACCATTTTTACTATTTTCTGAACTACAGAACATGCCAAAAGTCACTGCAGAATTGCTAAGCAAGCAAAACAAATTAACCAACCAACAGAAAACCTCTAACCTACTCTCTAGGGTTCTCTGTTTATGGATCTTTTTATTCTTTAGTCAAAATACTAGGTCCAGAATTTACTTGGGCTAGTTATTGCCCCTGCCCCCCTTCCGTGTGGTTACACAGATGGTCCCTGATTTACGACGGTTTGATTTACAATTTTGACTTTACGATGGTGTGAAAGCAATAAGCGTTCAGTAGAAATTGCACTCTGAATTTTGATCTTTTCTCGGGCTAGCAACATGCGGTATTATTTTCTCTTATGATGCTGGGCAGTGGCAGTGAGTTGCAGCTCCCAGTCAGCTATGCGATCACGACTGATACTCTACCGTGTGTTCCTGTGTTAGATGATTTTGCCCACTGTAGGCTATCGGAAGTGTTTTGAGCACGTTTAAGGTAGGCTAGGCTAAGGTATGATGTTGGGTAGGTTAGGTGTATGAAATGCATTTTTGATTTAGGATCTTTTCAACTTCAGATATAACCCCACTGAAAGTCGAGGAGCAACTGCATTATTCATTTGAAATATACTGTAGAGTCATCAGCTTTTGTTTGTATCATGTTTTAGGTTTTTCTCTCCATCCTTAATGATTTTTATTACTTGTGTTGTTGTTGAGAATGTTACAGATTAACAGTTCAAAAGTCAAAACTACACAGAAAGGCATATTCAGGTAAGACTTACATTTCACCCATCTTTCCAGTCTGTTCCCACCCCTCATCGCTTCCTTGCCATCACACCCATCACTCCATAGGTAATCAATTTCATTAGTTCTGGAATTTCCTTTCTATGTTTCTTTTTGCAAAAAATAAGCAGATACATGTCTATTTTTTTATTCCTTGTCCTTCCTACATAAAAGGTGGCATACTATAATTAATTTTTTGCATTTTTATAACTTAAAACATATCCCGGAAGTCACTTACACTAGTTCATAGCTTCCTGATTCTATGGCTGCATAGTACTACACTGTGTGGGTGTGCTATTGCTTATTTCACCACTCTCCTATGTTTGGGCATGTTTTCAATATTTTACATTATTGCAAATTAACTGAAAGAATATTGCAATTAATGCTGCCATGAATAAACATGGGCATATCTATTTTTGTATATATATTTGAAGATGTATCTTCAAGGTAAATGTCTAGAAGTGGGATTCCTGGAAAAAAAGGAAATACATACTTGGTTTTGTTAGACAAATTCCCTCCATCAGGGTTGTTCACATCTGTGTTCCCACCAGTAATGAATGGAAGTGTTGGTTTCTTTATAGCCATGTCACAAGAACATATCATCAAGTTTTTAATGCTTTCTAAGATGAGAGATGAGACCTGGTATCTTAAAGTAGTTTTAATTTGCACTTGTTTTCATTATGAGCATCATAAGTGGAGGTGACTATTTTATATTACTACTTATGTATATGCATGTGGTATTTTATATCTGTCTATATACATATTTTGTCAGTTCATATCTTTTGCCCCTTTTATCATTTTTATCTCTTTCTTTTACCTTGTAATTTGTGTTCATTTACTTTGTTTTTGTCATGCAAAAGTTAATTTTTCCCCCCTTGTAGTTAGATGTATGACTCTTGTGTTTTATTGCCTCAGTATTTTGAGTCATACTATATGGTGTGTGCTTCTTCTGGGGTAAGGTGCCTCTGATTTTATCTTGTAAAAATGATTGCATAATACTCTTGATAAGTGATATTTTAACTTAATATTTAGAAGTATTTATACCATTCAAAAATTTTGATCAAAGCAACTCATTTGTTTGGCTTTTTAACCAAGAAAGCACTTACAAAGTATATTTTGAAGAAAAAAAGGTTTCCATGTTAACTATAAAATATGAAAACTATCAGCTAAACAAAAT